TAGGGAAATAATGAGAAGAATAACAAAGTGCAGAAAACAGTAAAACTTTTTGCACCACAAACCAGTGTGTTTATAATTAAGATAATACATTAAAATGATATGGTAAGACACACCAGTTTGCAATAATATCAAGCAGCAAATCAAGCTGTTTTGTACAAAAACAGCTGGAAGCGTATGACACCGGAAGCCAGACACATTAAATTTACAAATGACCGCACCCACTCTTATGGGAAAAATTAGGTAGATATAAGTGACATAAGTGGTAAATGCTGTAGTATAACTTATAATACCTATTTGTCATAATGTGTTTTATTCTACACTGAGATAACAGTTTTGTTCTTAAAATAAAAAAAAAAGTAGCTGGTGCTGATGTGAATAACAAAAGAGTCAAAGCAGACCTGGTTCTTGGGAGAGGAGGCCTTGGGTTTGCCCAGGTCAGACAGACCAGATGGTCGACTGGATCGATGCAGCACCACCAGGTCTTGCATGATGGAATTCAGGGCCTCCTGCTCATCTACAAGGTATTTTTATTACAAATTCTCATAATTATGGATTCCCAATATAAACACAGATTGCATCCTTTGTACTTCTAATAGATGAAAATTCTTTCAGTATTTTGACAATTTTTTAAAAACTGAGCACGTACCCATTTTCAGAAATCATCGGTTCACCCAGGAGTAAAGGAAAGAGGATTCTCCCATGAAATGGGATCCTTTCTCCTGCACATGAAAACAATCTTTTTATTACATAAATAATAGCATTATTTATTAATAAGATTAACGTGAAATATTTGTGCTAAGTGACAATAAACCATTCAAAATCTATAAAGACTACAGTGAAATCACTGCCACTAAATTGTTCTCTGTTACCACAGAACAGCAAAAAGTTCATCTTTATACAGCAGCACATTAGAAAGCAATGCTGTTGGATATGAAATTACAATAAGAGAATTATCACATCACACTAGAATCATAGTCTCGACTCTCATTATAGGAATAGTTCACCCAAAAATTAAAATTTGCTGAACAATTTACTCACCCTCAGGCCATCCAAGATGTAGATGAGTTCGTTTCTTTATCAGAACAGATTTGGAGAAATGTAGCATTACATCACTTGTTCATCAATGGATCCTCTGCAGTTAAAGGTTGCAGTCAGTATGAGAGTCCAAACAGCCGATAAAAACATCACAATAATCCACAAGCAATCCACACCACTCCAGTCCATCAATTAACATCTTGTGAAGTGAAAAGCCGTGTGTTTGTATGAAATAAATCCATCATTAAGGTGTTTTAAATTTAAAGCATTGCTTCTGGCCAAAATATAATTTTCTATAATATATATTCTATAATCTAAGAGTCTATAATCCATAATAAGACTTCCTCTAGTTAAAGAAAAAACAACAAACAACCATTCACCCCATGCTGTCCTCTTGTCATCAAAATATTTGTTTATAAATGTTTTGGACTGTTTTCACTTGATCAAAGTTGCTTGATCTGTGCATATTTCTCTCCTCCTTCAGATGAGATTACTTTTTTCACTGGTGAAGGCAATTTTATGGATATAGGACTCGTATTTTAGCTGGAAGCAACGGTTTGAAGTTAAAAACGTGTTGATGTTTATTACAAATATGCAGCTTTTCACGTCACAATACATGATGGTATAATGGCACCCATTCACTGCAGAGGATCCACTGGTGAGCAAGTGAGGCAATGCTACATTTTTCCAAATCTGCTCTTATGAAGAAACAAACTCATCTACATCTTGGATGGCCTGAGTGTGAGAAGAATTTCAGCAAATTTTCATTTTTGGGTGAACTATTCCTTTAAAAGTCCCATCTACTGTACTTCAGCTGGCAAAATCATGAATGACGCTAGACGACAGCAGCAGCTAGTTTGACTGATATACACACAAGTATTTGATTTAAACTCACAAAATCATGACATCTAAAGCACACGTAAATGTCAAATTACAGATAAATAGCTTATCAGATGTCATAAGTCAAGACAATGTTCTACCACATTCATGACCATGTATGACAGTTTAAGAAAAATATAGTAACAACTCACAAAATATCACACATAATATGACAAATAGTAAAAGAATATTTCAGTTAATGTATAGATAAACTCTAACGGCAGGCAAAGCTAATAACCAAGCTAACTGGTTAGCTCGCTAGCACCTGTCAAAACTATGGCAGGTCAAAGTAACCCAAATGTGATTACATACTAATATTTTACTAAGTTCACAATGGCATTTAGTATTCAATTTAGTCTCGTCTGCACCAAGACACAATGCTAACTATAACTACGGCCCTAAATCAGATTTATAAACACACAGTTAGCCGCTTTGCTCTCTAGGCCAAAATTAGCATTGAGCCAAGATGCTAACGAGCCACTTTGTGTTTTAACAGCTAACAGAGTGATTTTGACGGGCTTATGTAATTAAAATGTCTTTATTATGCAGTCTCCTAATAACACAGATAAAAACAAAAAGCATTTGATCACCTGGGTGAGCTCGGTCCGTTCACTTCCTCATCCACAGATATGAGGCCTCGAGACGAATCTGACACTCTGACACTCAATTAAACGACTTCAACTTTAGTCCAAGGCCTGACTACACGGCCAAACCATCTCCCGCTGACTCCAACACACTTTACAGGTTAGTGAAAGCTGCTGCAGTGATTCCAGGCGAGCTTGTGGGGTGAAAACCCCTAACGTTAATCGTCAACCGCTAACCGGGGTTTGTTTACATTAGATTCAACGCGCTGTCAATTAAGACTGAGAGTAACGTTAGAATATTAAGATTCACGAACTAAGACGAACGCAATGCACAAGCATGAGAAGGTCTGGTCAGAAAAAGAATCCAAAAGAGCGTACGACAAATTTAGCAAAAGATGTTAGATATTAAGTACACTTAAAAACACACGCAGACAGACAGACAGACAGACACACACACACA